CTCACACACACACACACACACACACACACACACACACACTGTCTTCATCCATAGGTGTACGCTTTTTGTTGCCGGGTCATACACATGTAAAATGTAGCTATTTCCATCCGCGACATGTCCCTGTGTTCGGCCACACAGGGACCATCTCAGCCTCACAGGGGACCCATAGATTTTTGATTGTTGTGTTTTCATTGTCATTCATTTCCAGGGTGTTTTTAATTTCTTCTTTGATATCTTTGGTAACCCAATCATTGTTTAATAACATGCTATTTATCTTCCAAGTGTTTGATTTTGTTCATTGTTTTTATTGTAGTTGATTTCTAATTTTATGCCATTGTGGTCTGAGAAGATGCTTGATAGGATTTTTATCTTCTTGAATTTGAAGAGACTTTGCCTGTGTTCCAATATGTGGTCTATCTTTGAAAATATTCCATGTGCACTTGAGAAGAATGTATATTCTGTAGCTTTGGGGTGCAATGTTCTGAAGATGTCAATTCCATCTGATCTAGTGAGTCATTTAGAATTAATGTTTCTTTGCTGATTTTTTTGTTTAGAGGATTTATCTAGTGGTGTCAATGGGTTATTAACATCCCCTACTATGATTGTATTGCTGGCGATCTCTCCCTTGATATCTTCCAGAAGTTTTTTTATGTATTTATGTGCTCCTGTATTGGGTGCATATATGTTTACCAGAGTTATATCCTCTTGCTGAATTGCTCCCTTTAGTATTATGAAGTGGCCTTCCTTATCACTTGTTATGGCCTTCACTTTGAGGTCTATTTTGTCAGATATAACTATTGCTACCCCAGCTTTTTTTTTTTCTTTTCATTTCCATTTACCTGGAAAAAAAAATTTCTATTCCTTCACTATCAGTTTGTGTGAGTTCTTTGTTCTGAGGTGGGTCTCTTGTAGACATCAGATATATGGGTCGTGTTTTCTTATCCATTCAGCTACCCTATGACTTTTGATTGGAGCATTTAATTCTTTAACATTTAAGGTTATTATGGATAGGTAATTATTTATTGCCATTTTAATTGTGTATTCCTGGGTTTCTCTATTTCTTCTCATTACAGCAGTCTCTTTAGCATTTATTTTAATGTTGGCTTGGTGGTGGCATACTCCTTTAGTCTTTTTTTGTCCAGGAAACTCTATATTTGACCATCTATTTTGAATGACAGCCTTGCTGGAGCATTTTAATTGTGATGTGTCTGGGTGTGGGCCTGTTTGGGATTTTCTTGTTTGGGTTCTCTGTTCCTCCTGGTCTTGTGTGACTTTTTCCTTTACCAGGCTAGGGACGTTTTCTGCCATTATTTCTTCAAACACGTTTTCTATCCCTTTCTCCCTTTCTGCCACTTCTGGCACACCTGCTTTTCGAATATTGTTATGTTTCACCTTGTCCTACAGCTCCCTTAAGCTGTCCTCCTGTTTTTTCTTTTTTTTTCTTTTTGGTTTGCTGATTGAGTTATTCTTACAACCCTGTCTTCTAATTCATTGATTCAGTCCTCAGGTTCTGCTAATCTGCTGTTTATTCCTTCCAATATATTCTTTATTTGTGCTATGTCATTCTTTATTTCTGTTTTCATAGTTACTATATCTTTTATCATGCTATTGAACATCTTTATCATCATTATTCTGAATTCTGTACTACATAAATTTCTTATCTCTGGCTCATTTATCTCTTCTGGAGAATTCTCTTGTTTTTTCATTTGGAGTTTGTTTCTTTGCCTCCCAATTTTAGCTGCCTGTTTGGTTTTGTGACTATGTATTAGGTAGATCGGCTGTGCCTCTCAATCTGTAGTGCAGGATTGTGTCAAATGCTGTTTCTGACTAATTAGATCAGGCAAGATTCAAAGCCTCCAATAATCACCTCTGTCTACAGACTGATAGGATTTTGTCTTGAATTGCCCTCAGGCAATCATCCACAGGTGTGGCAAGAGTGTTTTCAACAGGTGGGGCAATTGCTTCTGCCTGGATGCTGTTGTTATCCTGTCTCTTAATGGGCCTCAGAAACTCTGCATTGTGGTGCAAGGCATTTTCCAATGGGGTGGATCAGCTGTCTTCCCCACAGGCAAGGTCACCTGGATAGCAAATGTCTGTGTGAGAAAGATGACCTCCGCAGTGTGAGGGAATGACTCAGCACAGGTAACTGGGGTGTCTGCCTTCTGAGCTCTAATCCCAGAACTTCTGGTCCTGGCTTCTGCTCACACAGCTCCAGTCCACTCTGCCCGCCCTCTGTTGGGGCAGAAGATGGGTGGCTCCATAGGGAATTTTGTGTGTTGGCCCTTTAAGAAAGTGCGGAATTTCCAGTCTCTCCCTGGCCCACAGTAACCCTGCTGCTTCTCACAGCCAGATGTGATGTGGGTACCCTCTCAGTTCTGGTCTCTCTGCTGGGGGCCCAGCTTGGGGATTAGATCCCACAGTTCTCAGTGGCAACCCCCACAGCTGAGATATCTCTCTGGAACCTCAGTTGCTGTCTGTGGGAGCCCGGCCAGCCCTTTCGCACCTCCGCCCCTCCTACCAGCCTCTATGGGGTCTCCACTTTCTGTCCTCAGTTATCAGGTTTCTCTCCAGAGAATCTTCTGTTGACTATTCAGGAATTTTTCTTTATTTTAGGTGTAATTCGTTTGGTCCTGGGAGCATGTCTGTGTACCTTCCACTTACTCTGCCACCATTTTTAATTTCCTCTTGTGTGTTCTTTATCATCGTTCCTCTCCCTCTCCTCTGGCTCCTCCTTCTCCTCCTCCTCATTTTCCTCCTCCTCCTTTTCCTCATTCTCCTCCTCCTCCTCCTTTTCCTCATTCTCCTCCTCCTCCTTTTTTTCCTCATTCTCTTCCTCCTCATTCTCCTCCTCATTCTCTTCCTCCTCCTCTGTATTCTCCTTCTCCGCCTCCTCTTCATTCTCCTCCTCCTATTCCTCCTTCTCCTCCTCCTGTTCCTTTTTCTCCTCCCCCACAGTTTCCTTGGATAACCCCCAAAACTCTGCTCAGGTGAAAGGGTCCCCTGGTCTGTGGCCATTACTGCCGTTGCTTTTAGAGAACACCCACCTGACGAGTGAGAGTGTCCTGGCTTCCCTTCTCTAGATATTGCAGGTCTAGGGAACCCCTCTGGGCCCCAGGTGCTGAGTAGGGTGGGATGGGGCACGTGGGTACCAGTCAGGATTTACTCACTCCTATCACCCATCGGTGCTGTCCGCAGACTACCATGCCCGGGATGAAGAGAGACTGCGGGGGTGCTGCAGCCATCCTAGGGGCCTTCAGGGCTGCCGTCAAGCAGGTTAGTGGGGTCCCACTCCTGCAGTCCTGGGAGAGGAGGACCCCCATCCTATCCTTCCTGCGGAGTCCACACCCATCAGAGGCCAAAGACTCTAAAAGGGGAAGAAGTGAGGCTCCAGGGCAGCTTCTCACCTGCCCGGGGTGGTGATCGCTGCCAGTGGGTGAGGTTGGGGGATGCATGTCTTTTGGAGCCCAAAGCCCATGTCAAACAGGTAAAAAGTGTGTGTTCAACAAAGGGGTGGTGTGCCCTGACCACCACAGGGACGACTTACCTCCTAAAAGGAGCTGCTACGGCTGCTTCTAGGAGGCCCAGCTCTTCCTGTCACCAAATGTAAGGCCTCTTCTCTCTGTAGGGCCTACCTGTTTGGCTTGGTTCCTGGGAGTAAACTTAAAGTGAGAGCAGAAGTTCTTGGCAAAGTTTCTAATTAATGCCGATCAGGAGCTCAGCCTATTCCCTGCAAGAGGAGCAGAACTTGCAGGAGGGAGGGGCCCAGAGCTGGCTGCTCTTGCTTCTGCCCCACACAGCCTCGTTAGAAATGGACCTTCCTGGGGTCTCTCTGAAGCATAGCCACAAGCCACAGGCCACCGTGGTCCCGCAGGGGAGGCGGCACCTGGAGCACGAGCCATCCGCCCTCTTGTCCCCTCGCTGGCCAGCATTCACCTTGCTCAGCACTGCAGGCTCTGCCTGGGGGACAGCACCGGGCACCTGCCACCTGCCCCGCCCCTCGCCCCCCTTGCCCCGCTGCCTCCCTTGATGAGCTTGTCAGAAAGACTCCAGGGGTCCGAGCACGACCAGCCTATACTGGAGCCTCTGCCCCCATCTCCTCCAGGGTTTCAAAGACAACCTTCACGCGGTGTTCTGCTTGGCCGAGAACTCAGTGGGGCCCAACGCAACGAGGCCTGATGACATCCACCTGCTCTACTCAGGAAAGTAAGTCCACCCCTTGCTCACCACGCAGCCCAGGGCCCTCGGCCGTGCTGTCCTCTCCTTCCCAGGCCAGGCTGGTCAGCTGGAGCCATGCTGGCTGGGGGCAGAGTTCACCTTGCTTGCTCCAGCCGGGGGCAGACCCTGTTGGAGATGCTCTGTGACAGCTAGCCCCGGCCCACAGGCTGCTTGCTCCCAGGGGTGTCCAGAAGGGTGACCAAGGTCCTGGCTCAGGGGCTCAGGAACCACCCTGCTTCACTAGGGTGAGCCCTTTCTCTGCCACATGGTGCCCATCCCTGGGGTCACCCTGACAGGTAACCCTGCACTTACCTAGGGCCAGGGCACGGTGTAGATGCTGCCCACACACCCCTGTTCTCCCGTTTTACAGAAGAGGAAACTGAGGCAGGAGCTGGGTGGCTTGTCCAGATTCTAGCTAGACAGTGATGGGCGGGATTGACACAATGGCCTTTGCTCTTGACCCTGGCACTGTAGAGGGGTGGTGAGGTAGTTGCAGAAACAAGGGCTCTAGGTGGGGTCTCCCACTTCCAAAGGGACTCACTACCAGTGCCTCAGAGAGTGCCATCCTGAGTAGGGTGTCTGCTGCCCCCAGGACAGTGGAAATCAACAACACGGATGCTGAGGGCAGGCTGGTGCTAGCGGATGGCGTGTCCTACGCCTGCAAGGACCTGGGGGCTGACATCATCCTAGACATGGCCACGCTGACTGGAGCACAGGTGGGAGCCTAAGGCCACCTGGCCTCCAGGAAAGAGGGGTGCTGTCATTTCATCTTCATAACCTGGTGGGGGACCCAGGGAGGGTGCAGGTAGTGGAGCCCATGGACTGAGGCCTCGGTGCCCAGGCAGGGCGGAGGCCTTTCTCCCCTGCGTCTCTCACCACCTCTCTTGCCTTGTTTGTTCCCTCTCCTGGGGGCTCTGTCCCACTCTCCTGACCCCCAGGGCATCGCCACGGGCAAGTACCACGCTGCCGTGCTCACCAACAGCGCCGAGTGGGAGGCGGCCTGCGTGAAGTCCGGGAGGAAATGCGGGGACCTTGTGCACCCCCTCGTCTACTGTCCCGAGCTGCACTTCAGCGAGTTCACCTCGGCCGTGGCCGACATGAAGAACTCCGTGGCGGTAGGTTTGGAGTGGCTCCTGAAGTGAGGGAGCGGGGCAGGCAGGGCCCTGCTCTCAAGGTATCAGTGTGACCCCAAGAAACAGCAGCAGTGTAGACGAGGGTCACCCCCAGATCTTTGCTGTGGCTGGGCGGGAGGCAGGGGGCATCTAAAGTGGGGATATACCATTCCCTGGTCTCCCTGCCAGCGCACGCACCACGTCTGGTACTGGGCTTCCTCCCCATCGGGGGTCTGCCCGTCGTCCCCGTCAGTCCCTTTGCTGACTGCCCCTTGCCTTGGGGTGAAGGCAGACCTAAGCCCACATGCAAGGTCCTTGGGGTCCCAGGCCCCTCTCAGCTGCCACTCCTGCGCTGGACCCTCCCTAGCCCCTTTCAGACACCAGGGGAGGTGGCTGAGGATGGCAAGGTGGGTCCACAATAGGCCCTGATGGTGCTCTTGGTGGAGCCCCTCGTCCAAGCCCCCACTGCTGGGAGGGGAAGGGTCACTGTCTGTCCTCTGTCTCCCCAGGACCGGGACAACAGCCCCAGCTCCTGTGCCGGCCTTTTCATTGCCTCACACATTGGCTTCGACTGGCCTGGGGTCTGGGTCCACCTGGACATCGCCGCGCCTGTGCACGCAGTGAGTGCAGGGCCCCAGCGGGCATCCTCCCCCCCTGGTTAGGACACTTCCTTGGCTGGCCCTCCAGTCTGCTTCCCCTCCCGTCCCTCCCCTCGGCCTGGATCCCGCCATCGGATGCGCGTCCAGAGCCCTGTCTGGCTCCAGAGCTGCAGGCTGAGCTCATCGGAAACATTCTGTGTTGAGGGTCATACCGTCTATGGCCCAGCCTCCCGGCCAGCTGTGGTCCCCCCTGACCTCTGGTCTCCTCATCCCTGGGAACAGAGTGGCTGCTGTTTGCGATCCTTCCCCAGCCAGCCATTCTCAGCAGGAGCCGGGCCCTGGTCTCACCCTCCCGCACCCTGGTAAAACCTGAGTGAGGCCAGAGCACTCCTTGGTTCGAGTGTTCAGGGCAGCAGAAGGGGTCTGCAGGGAGAGTGGGGGTCCTCTCCCTGGCCCAAATCTCTCCCCGCAGAGGCGGCTCGCTGAGGGGGTCTGGCTCCCTGGCAGGGGCTCCACCTGCACTTTGTCCACAGGGTGAGCGCGCC